TTAAACATCAATTAACTAATCTAAATTAATATAATAACTGATAAAGATTAAACATCAATTAACTAATCTAAATTAATATAATAACTGATAATCCCATTATTGGGGAATAATCAATTAAATGATTAATCGATTATAATCAACATTCTATAGATTAATGGAAAATAACCGATCTTTCGAACAATCGAATAATCAAAAACAATCAATTAAGCAAAAATAATCGAATAGTCGAATAATCGAAAATAATTGAGCATTTGAATAATCTAAAATCGAATAATCGATCATTCGAATTATAGATTAATCAAATAATCGATTAATTGATTAATCGAATTACAGAATTGAACAATCAAAAATAATCGAATTTCGGTTAATTATTTTGATATTCGCAAAGTCCTGGTTACAGGCAGGGGCAGAATAGAAAATAAGAGAAGAGCTAAAAGTAGAGCCAATCGTAGAAACCATAGAGGGACAACAACTGAAATGGTTTGGACGCATGCTGCATATTATGGAAGAGAGACAGACAAAAAAGGATGGTCGACAAGATCACTGCACAAACAAAATAGAGGAAGACCAAGAAAACATAAGGGATAGTGCAATAGCGGAATGCTATAAAAAACGAGGAGTATACTGAAATGAAACAAATATATTTAAAATAAGAAATATATTGCACCTTTACAATCTTAGGGTAATTAAGGTTTACTGATAAAGATAATAATAATAAAAAAATACGACTGCGAAATCTTGACAATAACAGTAGCCCCACGTCAGTAACACACTATCCCCACCATTAACCCTTTAAGTACAAATGTCGCACACTGGAGTATTAACATGATAAAACTGATCAAAAATCAAAAAAACAAGTTTGCGCTGCATTCCCAAAATACTTATAAATGACAAAAGGAAACAATATTTGTTTATATTCGCTTTGTCAAGGATTTGTTTAACTGAATTATTTAGTTGTTATGTTACCTGAAAGATATGGTGCAATTTTACACCGTTTTCTACTAGTGAGATTTGGAAATATTTAGCTGGATCCCCTCCCCCCCTTGAACACCTCACGTAATTAATGGACGCACCCTAAAGTGTTGAAAATTGCTTCGTTCTCGATATCCTGTATGTCAAGTAACGATTCATTTCTCTGTACACCTTTATATTAAAAAAGTTTTTTTTTTACGGGATCTATCACAAATTCAGTTTTTGTAAGGTATCGGCAACTTTATTTATAGTCTAAGGGACAGCGTTATTGAATAAGTCTACTTTTTTCCTAAAAAATGTGTAAGAATAACATTTATTCATAAAATAAAAATGTTAATTAAATTCTATTAAATTTGTTTTTTTTGCTTTAAAACGAAATATACAAAATATATTTATCTTTATTATTAAATTCCAAAATCATCAAAAACTGTAAATCATAAATGATAAAAGTAGCACCTTTTATTCTTTTTGAATACCCTGTATGTGCGCAGTTAAATTTTTTTTAAGTCCTACAATGATTTTTTTTGACGCACGAATATTTTATAAACATTAAAATTTAGTGAATAAAACAAAAAAAGTTTATAATTTTTGACACACTATATCTCTAATGTGCCAGCAAAAAGACTTAAGTCATAAAATGTCTTAATCGACTTATCTCCTTTGTCTGACTTAATATTTCGAGTTACATAATAACTTATACAGAGTATTTGGTTTAAAAGACACAACTCAATTTAAACTGGTAAAATGAACCTAAGTTTCTTATGCCCTTTTGGGCACTGATAGGAACTGATAGTAAAGGCTTAAGTGAAGATAAGTCTTCACAGCCAAACTTTTCAATTGGACTTAGGCCCTTTGTATTGTTCGTAAGCGGTCAGCTGATTTATATTTTGGTTCATTTTACATTGTTAATGTGCTATATGGAATTGAAAAAAAAAATCATAAAATATCAAGCAGAGAGCAAAAAATATTGGCAATGTTGAAACCAGATATTGGTATTATAAATCACGAAATTCGTGGTTTATTTTCTTAAATATTTTATTACCTAAAAGTGAGGTTAGTTTACTGGTACATTTTGTAATTTTCTTGGAGCAATATTTTTATTATTTTTGTATATCCTGCTTTCTGTACAAAAATTTAATAGGTCAATATTGTTTGTTTTAGACAAGTTAGAAAAGATTAGGGAGTCGAATGGCGATTTCAGTTCAGAAGTAGGTGGTAGAGAAACCGTAAAGGAACTTACGGAAAATGATTGACTTGAAGGAAAAAATGAAATACCCTCAGAAAACTCTAAGATATTACTTGAAATTCAATCATATAAAAACTTATTGCTAGATGAAAATGTTATTTTCGAAGAAGTTACAAATTTTAACGACTTTGTAGTTGAGCAAAACGTTACTACTGAAAATTTTGGAAATGAAAATGATGAAAATATTGAACCAGAAGATGGAAAACATAATGGAATATTAGCTGAAGTGCCAAAGCCATTTTCGAGAAGGTTAAGAAAGGAAAGAACACTTAAACGAAATTCTGGGCAATAATATGTAACAGCAAAGGGAAAAGTTACTAAAAGCAGAGAACTGAAAGATCTAAAAAATTGTAGACTTAGATGTAGAGATTGGCTTACCCAGGAATTGAGAGAAACAATTTTTAAAGAATATTGGGGACAGCAGTCATTCCAAGAGAGTCGGTTACATCAATAAACTTGTTACATCGGCTGCAGTCAATACTCGTAGTGTTCGAAAGGAGAACTCTAACAAATCAAGAAATGTTACTTACAATTATGCCTTTGAGATTGACGGACAACGACGCAAAGTTTGTAAAAACTGTTTTCAAGGAACAATAAACGAAACAGAAAAAACTTATTCAAAATTGTTTGGAAAATAAAAAGAACAGCATTACCGGCATTGTCAAAGATGTCCTAAGAGGTAAACATGCACTCTCTCTAACAAGACTTCGGAGTTGCAGCTTGCAGAAATTTTGGCTCATATAGATTCATTCCCAAAATATGAAAGCTATTATACTCGCAGAGTTAATGTCAAAAAAATATTTACCGTCAGATCTAAATTTGTTAAAAATGTATAATCTCTATCGAGAATCTCATGAAAATCCCGTTGGGCGAAAAATTTATGAACAAGAATTTCATAAGCTTAAACTGGCTTTCAAAAAACTAAAAACTATCCCCTGTCACAGATGTGAAGTTTTACAGATGCAGATTCAAAAAGTGATCTAAAAGAAGCCCAAAAGCGACACCATATTGAAGCTGATACCGCCTACGAATGTAAAAAGAAAGATAAAGAGGAAGCTAAAAATGGCAATTTGTCTAGATGTTACACCTTTGATCTTCAGCAGTGCTGGCCTACATCCTACTTGGAAACCTCCTCGGTATCATTTTATAAAAGAAATTACTGGACATACAATCTTACTATACACAATTGTGCATCTGGTTATGCCCCTTGTAATTTGTGGCACGAAACAATAGCTATGAGAGGAGCAAATGAAATAGCTTCATGATTGTACAAAGAATTAATGATATTGCCACTAGAAGTGAAGAAAATAACACTGTACTCCGACACCTGTGGAGGATGGAACAAAAATGTTCATATTGCTGCTACGTTTCTAGCAGTTATAACCAAAAAACCTTCACTGGAAGAAATAAATCACAAATTTATGTTGTCCGGCCATTCGAACATGGAGTGTGATTGTGATCACTCACTCATAGAAAAAAAATCAGGTATGAAAATATCTCATCCTCATGACTGGGTAACTTCAATTAGTTGCAAAATAAATCCAAACCGTTTAATGTGATTAAAATGACACAAAACGATTTTTTTGATTTTGCGGATTTGTTGAAGACAACGTTGGTGAGAAAGCAAAAAACCCAGAAGGAGAAATTGTTAAGTTACATGACTGTAAATGGCTTCGTTACATAAAAAAACCTGGCATTATTTTTTATAGATATTCTTTAACTGCGTAAGAAATCTTTAAAGAACTAAATCTTAATCGACGAGGACGACCATCCAATTTACTTAAGATTAAAAATCGTTATGAAATTCCTTTGCCTATAGCTGCAGAAAAAAAAGCACATCTATTAGAACTTTTACCATTGGTACAGGAAGAGTACAGAAATTTTTATGAAAATTTACCTACTAATGCTCAAGCAGATAGGTATCCTGATTTAGAAGAGTTCAATCCAGAATAATATTAGGTACTTAGTAAAGTAGGTATACAAAAAAAAAAGAATATAATTTAGGTTGTGGTGCAATAAAATGATACTAAAATTAGTATTAAGTATTGGATTTTTCAAATTTTAGTACGGTACAAAAGACTTATGTTTTATTAGTCAACAATATTTTAGGTGAAATAGACTTAAACCACTGTTAAATCAAACATACTTTACTTTAATATATTTTTCCTAATTTGGTTTAAATCTACAGTCAATGATGTTAATAAACTGACTGAAAAATATTCTGGCTTTTAATTATCCGATTTTTTAAAATGTTTGTAAACTTTAAAAAAAGATTCTGGATAAAATGTGTATTTGACTTATGCCCCTTTGCCCGCGCATTAGATATATATTTTCCTCTAAAACAAAATATTTTATATTTTAATAATTTTTGTCTTTTATCGTCTTGTTTGATGTGAAGAAGTCTGACAAAAGATAAAACTAAACCTTTCGATCAACAATCAGTGTCAAATAACCCACTGTGCGTCGCCTATACGCGACATTTGCAAGTCATTAAAAATAGCTGAACGTCGTGTATAAGCGACCCAAGAACCTAGAGAAAGACTTAGGTAAAAACTGATACAGGTGACAATGCCGCATGACAACTGACTACGTAATTTACAATGAGCAAGCGAGGCAACACTGCAAAACATACAAACTGTTTTAAAATAGTAGTCACGAATAAGCGACAATAGGCATACAGATGTGTGTAAGTATAAAAAATAATTCCGACCAGCACACGTGCTTAGGAAAATCAATTTCGTCTTTAGAGGGTTGAAGCAATAACAATAGGAAAACCACCAACCTTATCGGTGGGCTTATTGGCGGCCGCTTGCATCCCTCCTGGCGTTATTGCGCTACTGCTTCGGCCTAAAGGTGCAGAGGTCTGGTCCTGTTGCCCGCCGTGCCAGCTACTAGAAAAAGCGTTGGAAGAAGGGCTCGTAGCCCGAGGAGGCAATTCGGGAGGATTAGTGGAAGCCGCAAGCTGCGAAGCGGATGTGTTTTTACCGCCACGCGTAAAACTTACGGGTAGTTTGGAGTCGTCTTTGGATCCGTGAGGATTAGGAACGCCACGAGCAAGAGCTACATAGTTACCAGGGAAGACGCCGCATTTCTGGGTACGATTAGATGTTCCCTTGTACCAGCCATCTTGACAACTGTAAAAGACATATAAATCTCAATAGGTAACGGAAATATGCAACAAATGTAAATACAAAAAAAAATCATTTTTTATCTGTTTAAAAATGACAAGCATTTTTTAACAGATACTTCAGTTACTCTCTTTATGGTCCATCCCGTATAAGTAATGTATGGAAAACAAGAACAACAATATATTTTATTATTCAATCTGTATATTGGTAGTTTAAATCAAAGCCCACCCTGGCAAGTACAGAAATGTAGTTTAACGAATTTAAAATTACCAAAAAAAAAAAAAACAACAGCATATCTACTACTGCAAAGTTATCTCACTTATTGAACATTTAAAGTCATTTAAATACAAGTGCCGAATCTCTTCCATTCGCGAATCTGTCTCATTCACACTAGTGCAGGAATATTTAAAACAAATCGTTAAATATCAATATAATATTTAATAGTTACAACACTCACTCTAAAGTGACAAAAGAGTATCGCATTTTTAGTTACGGTTTGCATGTGTTTTCTTATTTCAGTTGCGTTTTGTTGTTGCTTAGCAGCGTAAACTTTATTAAGGTGTGTTTACACGAATACAAGAAGTCACTTGGAAAAATCAAGATTATGTTTTACATTTTGTCTACAAATACTAGAATATTTACTTTCGTACTTTTTTATTTTTTCTTTGGGGATATGAAGGTGTAATTTTTATAATTTAGTAGGAAGAATTGGGATTTTTCATTTTTATATTTCTAAAATTGCATTTTAAATATATATTAATTTCGTACGTGAATTCTTTTATTGTATTAACCTTACACCGATTTTAACTTGTACATACAAGATGTATATTTGAATATGTTTCAAGTAAAAAAACTTATTACCATATGCAGAAAACAAACCGTGTCCGCCTATGGATATCTATTCTTGAATATTAAAAAGTTTAAGTTTCCATAGAGAACTGAGACAGAAACACAAATTTTGTAGAGGTAAAATAGGTTTTCTATCAATTTGAATTCAAGAAATAGTTACCATGGGATTCATACATCCATGATTAATGCTAATATGTATTTTTTTAGGAAACAATAAAATAGTGAAACCACATGATTAATGGAATAGTAATTCGAGTTTGGCATCGAAAAGGTATGTACCGGCTGTTGTTTAAATAGACATAACGTATATTCAAATTCTCGAGTAACGGTGTAATCATAAAAATCCAAAATTATTAGTACCTTAGATAGCGAGAAAAAACGGTGTAAATGACAGAAAAAAGACAAGTATACTATATTTTTAAATTTTCTATGAAACAGTTTTGTACTAAAAGAAAAAATGTTGTGTACATGGTGTTCCTAACTGTCATGTCAGTATTAAGTGAATGAATTTTTACATAAAAGTGTGCTCAAAATTTAATCTTTTTTTTTTAAATTAAGTATTAATTTTTTTTTTGGAAAGGCGGTTTGTCATTAATATTACCTCAAACGCCCAGTACATCTGTGACCGTCGTAAGGTAAATACGTGTCATTTGGCATTAATTCGAGTACGTTCCGGTATCGAAGCTTATCGGTAATTTGATATTATATTGAATTGTTTTGTTATAAACACTAAATATATCGAGACCCAAAGTAAGGTAGTGACCATGGGCGAAGGGGAAACAAGCAATGGTGATGGGGGTATGTTACATCAGACTCCACTTCACAGAAATAATATCGAAATGCCTGATTCCAGAAGGTCGAGCGTGGACGTAGTGGAACAAATATGGAAAGATAATGAAGTAGGTGATAACAACAAAAAGTAAGTATTTTATTTATGATTTAATCGAAAAAGTTAAAAGGTTGAAGACCAGAACTTCGGCAAACCCCATCCCATATGACCAAATTTTTATTTTAGAAGTTTTATGAAATTTATTAGTTTCTTTTGGGACACCCAGTATGTCTACTATCACATAAAATGTTTATAGGTATCTTGTTCTTTTATACTTTTTATTATTTACAACAAAATGAAACTGAAAACGCAATCAATTCACAACAAATATAATTTCTTTTATCCTTTATCTGTCCACAAAATTATTTTCAAACTACATACCAAGCGCAGAGCGTAAATTTCACAGTTCCGACAAATTATTTTGTCCATCGTCCACCAAACCAGCCAGCTCATTCATAAAATAATTTTTAAACGATTTGGTTACAAATAATAGTAAGTGTTAAATTAAAAGTCAATATTGCCTTTTTTAAATTATCTGAATGCCTGAAATATTCATTCATTCGTCTCATTAAATGATCAAAACTATATTCCGAATGTATATTAAATGTCGCGAACGGGTGGAATTGCGTGGTCTTCTACCTCTATACGATTATCTGAACTAAAATGTTGGAGAAGTAGGGTTTGCCGCGTATATTATTTGAAATTTCGGCTTGTATTTTAGTTCCTAATTTTCTTCGTTATTACAACGTGATTGTATTTGGTTATTCTTAGAGTATTTGCTTAACTCATATCAAATTTTTGTATAATTTTTTAAACTTTTATTATTCTGAAAATTACATTATTTATATTGGCGTCAGCAACTGCTCTGATCTATTTCAAAAATGTTTACCAAATCTTAGCCCTTTATCTTGTATAGTTTTCAAATTTATTTGGAACTAAAAATAAATGCAATTAAACTCTCGCCTTAAAGTCAACATTACAAATTATTTTTTTATAGATATCTCAATTTTGTTGTTGCAGCAAGTGTAAATAGAATAGTAAACTTACATTTCAGTCACCATATAGATGCCACCTTTTTTCAACTCCAACTCATCAGCTTTTTGTGGTTTATAAGGATACAGAGCAACGTAAGTGGCGGGTAATTGCATTTCGGATAAATGTCCATTCCTTCTACTTCTATCATTAGATGTAGTCAATGTTTGGCAATCACTACCAGCTACTATTTCTGCAGACAGCCTATTTTGATTAGACGAGTTTGAGTGATGGGGATTTACCAAACCAGTGAAACTATGCCGCTTCTCTTTAGAATGTTGGTGCTGATGGTGAGGAGTCAAGTGGGGATCAGAGGTACGAGCCGATTGATTCTGAGTAGACCGTTGTGGAGTAGAAAGCTTGGCAGTGTTAAGAAGGTCAGGCCGGCTAAAATTTAAATATAATTCATTTACTTATGTAAAAACTCTTTTTACAATATAAAAAAGTACAAATACCTAAAAATATTACACTGATTTAAAGCTAAAACAATACTATATTATGAAAATAATAAACTAATAGAAATTGATAAGTTTAAGAATCGTTTATTGTTGAAAGGAGACAAGCGACATTTTGTATGTTACGAGAAGGAAATTTCCCTGAACTTTCGTCTCTTTTCATATCATCCAATTATTCAGACAAAATACTTCAACTGATTAACGCTATTTCTTCAGCTGCATCCAAATCTATGCCTACTAAAAAACCTTTTACCCCTTTATCTCCCAGGCCCTATTGGTGGGACGAGGAATGTTCAACCATGGTTAAAAATTGCACAGGATCATTAAAGAAATTCAAAAAACAAGGAAATTTTAATAACTACCTACACTATCAAAATATGGAATAATCTTGATGCTAATAACCTAAAACTAAACAAAAACAAGTTACTAACTGCTTATTACAATAAACTTTATAATTTTGATATCATAGGAATTACACGCTGTCAGTTTTTATCCTTATATACAGCTTTTTCCCCTGATAAAATTCCCCAAAAAGATTTACTTCTAAAACTGCCCATACAAGGTACACGAACATTTGCACAACTCCGATTAACTAATAAATTTCGGTTAAAATTTACACTTAATAATAATATATATGTAATAGATCCCAATAATGTTTGTACGGTATGTAACATAAATGTAAATAAATCTCTTACACATATCTTGTTCGAATGTCCAATATATGTTATGCAACCGAAAATAAATTGTTTTAACGATCTGGAGGCTTTAATCTATGCATTAGAAAATATAACCGAACCAGATGCATGGTGTATATTTTCTTATACCAGGTCTTCAACAATACCCGAAACCCACGTGATCTGATAACCATCAAAAACCCATCGAAAGGGCCTGATTTGACGTAAAAGGAACTAAACTGAACTGTCAATCCTGTCAGAAATGTCACTGGCGTTCATTTGGGGACTGACAATATTTATATTATATTTGTTTACATTTTATAAACACCCTTAGTCCATTTTTCATTTAATATTAAGGCCGCAGTATCACTGTATTTCTCATATAAGAAGCAAGGGTTCACCATTTCCGATTGCATTTAAATCCCGCTAAATGAATTAAAATAAATCTTCTACCAGCTTAAAGTATAAGGTTTGGAGAATGAAATCTCCTATTTTTTATTTGTCCTGTTTATACACTGAATTTAAAAAAAAATCATAAAAAGTGATTTTAAAACCAGAGGCTAAAAAGTAGGAGATTTCATTCTACATATTTTTCCAAGTATCCCGCCAAAATATTTCTAAATTTTATTGCGTATTTTTCAAATCTAACTGGAAATACGATTAACAAATATTTGATAAATTTATTTGTCAAATTAAAGATTTTCTATGAATTCCTGTAATTGTGTACAGTTCATGTAGTTCATCTATTTTTAAGAAGATGTCACCGTAAAAGTAGTAGTATAGCTATTCTACTTTAGAGATGGTTTTAATAGGTAAATGATTGTTTAGAGGTATCAATTTTTGAAACAGTGATACAGGTGTATGCCGTCTTTTATTGTTTCGTGATTTTCATATATATTTGTCTCGTTTGGTTCCAAATTATCGATTGATTTTGCCTGTGTATGAACAAGTGTTGACCACGTTGCCAGATTATCGATTTATTCGATAATTTCACAATTCTTTCTAGGACGAATTTGATTTTAAAGTGGGTGAAATATACAATAGTGAAATGCAGGAAAGGGAAGGAACTTTATTGCATTCCGATGTAAATTAAATCCGAATGACCTGGCATCATTGTATGATACGCACGTAATATTGGCGGTCTTTGCTTTTTTCTCCTGAATGTTATTTTATCTTTATAAGGAATCTTATTTCTGAGTTAACACGTTGACTGCTATGTGTATGTACCCATGTGTATGTCCTATTAGTGCGTAATTGTTCAATATTTTAATTTATGTTAAAGACACGCAAACATGTTTCAAAAAAAAGTTATATGGATTTAAAAAATACATATTTTAAAAATATTTTTAGATATATACAGGGTGCTACATTTTTGCTTAGTATATTTTTAAAATAGAACATGTATTTTATTTCAATTTTAGAATGGTTCGGTAATACTGTATTCAACCTTAGAATAATTTTAAAAAATATTACAGGTCTGCCAAGCAATTAAATTTTTATAAAATTAGAAAATAATGCAGACCCTAAATTAAATTATCATAATTCAAAATTGTTTAATATACTGACTTATAGCACATTAAGATAACGAATAGTAGTGATAGTGCTGGATTCTTTTATAGCGAGTGTTTTGAAACATGTCTTAAAATGGTTACTTTTAAGTCAAATTACTCAATTTTTCAAAGGCAGCATTTGATATAATATTTTAGCATACAATTCCTTATAAATTTGCATATCCAACGATACCAACATGTTAGAGAATAACATATATACAGAGTGTCTCATCAGTGCGTAATTGATCGATAGCTGTTTTATTATTAGAAATAAGAAAATAAAAATAATATAAAAGTTATATGACCATATTAAAAATTATTCCTATATATACAGGGTGGTCCATAAACGAGATGTTGACCAAACCTATACATTTTTAAATCAAAACACCCTGCAGGTAGTTATACATATTTGATTGTTTTCACGTCGTCAAATAATTTTAATTGACTTTATTCATTTGCTATGTTCTATATAGAGTGTGTCAACACGCGAGGTTACAAATGCATAAATTTTTTTCAATGGAATACCCTGTATTAATTAATTGGAGGCATAGCATACAGGGTGTTCCATTTAGAAAATTAAGAAAATCGTGACCATTTTCACACATCCTATATACAACATAGCAAATGAATGAAATTGAAATTATTGAAACGATGTGAAAACAGTCAAATATGCACCTGCAGGGTGTTTTACTTTAAAAATGTATAGGTTTGGTCAGACAATCGTTTATGGATTATCCTGTATATTTATAAATAATTGTTAATTATGGTCATACAACTTTTATATTAATTTTTTCGTATTTCCTATTATAAAACTGCTATCGATCAATTACGCACTCATGGGACACCCTGTATATGTGTTATTGATATCGTTGTATATGTTAATTTATAAGGAATTGAATGCTTAAATAATATACAGGGTGTGGCATTTGAAAAAAATTAAATAAATTTAACTTGGAATTAGCCATATTTAAGACTTGTTTTTCAAAACACACTGTAAAAAATAATCCAGTTCTATTACCACTATTTGTTAGCTTACTATCTTATTACTACATTTAAAAAAAAAATGAAATTATTTTAAACCTACCTAAATAATGATAATTTAATTTGGGGTCTGAATCATTCTCTAATTTCATAAAAAAATTAATTTATTGGCAACCCTGCAATATTTGTTAATAAAATTCTAGGGTTAAATACAGCATTACCAAAGCATTCAAAAACTGAAGTAAAATACAGGGATTTCTTTTTAAAAAATATACCGTTTTATTTGTCAGACAAAAACGCAAAACCCTGTATGTCTAAAAATATCTTTAAAATACCTATTTTTGAAATGCATATAACTTTTATTTAGAAATTGTTTACGTGTTTACAACACAAATTAAAATATTGAACAATTACGCACTAATGGGACAACCTGAATATATTATTCACAATATATGCACGCGACCTATGTTTGTAATAATTTAATCTCGCGCCGCGTTTATATATTTTATTCATGCGTCTATTAGATATTGTAGTTTACTAAGACCCAACCACAACATTTGCTTCGGCAGTCAACGTGTTTTAAATGCTTTTTTATTAATTTGTTGTTTAATTTGTATTTAGTTATTAATATTTCAAAAATTCTTATTTTTCTTATTGATTAATCTAAAATACGTAATTTTTATTTATAATTGAAAATAGTATTGGAATTCTAAATTGACAAAAAAAGTAGAAATATGAAAACATAAATTACGACTCTACAAATGAAGTAAAATTTTATGATTAATTTCTTTTTTCTTACAAAAACATTATCTCAGCAATATGTCATAAGTTGCATACACACAGTAGGTCTATGTAAGTTGATAACAAATAGAAAACTTTTTTATTATTTATTTTACGAAAAAAAGTTATTCTTCATAAAAATTTATGCATGGTCTAACAGAAAATGCAACCACCCGATAGCAAATTTTATCAGTCGGTTTTACAAGGTTTGTCAAAAAATATAATTTTGCTCTCAAGATAAAATACCTTTATTTTCGACAAACCCTGTATACGACTGATAAAATTTGATATCAGATAATTGAAATTTAGGTTTTAGACCATGCATAACTTTTTATGTAAAGTAACTTTTTTTCTAAAATTAATAGACCATGCAATTGTTTATGAAAAATAAGTGTTTTTTTTTAAATTCTTAAAAAGGTTTTCCGTATGCCGATGACGCCAACTTACACATAAATGAGATTAAATTTTTTGAAAATATTTTTTACTGATGCAGATCTAAATAAAGTATTGTTGGTAAATAAGGTACATTTTTCTTTTTTTATTTGGTTCTTTGGCTGTAAGACCTTTCGGTATATACATGGTATTCCATTAAGAATGGGAGCAACTGAAGATTAATTGATTAGAAATAAGCCGATTAAACGAAACATCCGTAGGTAAAACATTACGTGTTTCCGAAAAACAGAGTTTTAAAGTTGAAAATCAAAAATTATAAATAGCTACAATTTTTTTATTACTCAGTTTAATTTCACTAAATTCGGCAAACGTTATTGGTGTAATAAAATACATCTATCATCAAAAAATAAGTTAAATAAGCTTTGCCAGTGGCGTACGTCATGGGCCAGTAACATCTTTTTTCCTTCTAAATTTTAGTCCACTGTCCACTTTTGATGTTTTTTAAATAAAGTTGAGTTAGTTTTTGAGATATTCGCACATATTAGAAAATTCTG